CTCCTTTAGGCTCACTCCAACAGGTCCATGTCTGTCCTGTGCTGAGGACAACAGAGCTGGATGCAGTGCTGAAGGTGGGGTGTCATGAGAGCAGATTAGACCTCAGCCTGCTGGCCACTCTTCTTTTGATACAGTSCAGGATACAGTTGGTTTGCTGGACAGCAAGTGCAGTGCAGAAATACGTAACTCCAGAACACCCTCATGGCAACTGAGGACRAGTGAAATAATCATCCTCTTCCTGACTTCTAAGTTCTAAGTACCTCTTGCTTTCAGACTTACCAAATGACACATGGTTATCACAAGCTGCTGTTTAAGTAGCTTCAGGGTGACTGTGAAGACAAAACCCTGCTGGACATCTCCAAAATTTGCCTTAAGGCATGCCTCAGCTACTAGCCCAGCAACTCAATGGCCTGCTACCTACCAAACATCTTCAACAAGGCAGCTTCTTGAGTCACTTGMTGTAAATTGGCACTCAGTTGGCACTCTCAAAAAAACAGCCTGTTTAGCCTGTTTCTCCCCAAACAATAGCTATGAAGCAGCTTTTTGTCTAGTGCTAACTTCCAGCTGCATCAGCCAGCAGAGCTGGTGGTGCATAGGAGAAGGCAGGATTGCACAGCAAAGAGGAGGAAGGCCTGGACCATCTCTGGTGTCAGCAGCCCACCTCAGAACAGCGTCACCGAAGGGAAGACTCGGACCACTCAATATGAGTTATAAGCAAACTTCGATTTATTGCAAACAATGTCTAAGCTTTATAGTGTACATAATTAGCTCATACATATTCTGTAATACATATATTTCATAGGTCCACGTCCTAAACGTCAACTCCACCTTTAATGATTCACTTGCCAATTTCCCTTATCTACTTCTACTTTTTCCCAGGGCTAACCAACACAAGTATCTTGTAGGGAGTTTCCAGCGGCTTAAAAACATGATGTCCTTGCATTGCCTTCCCACTGCTTCAGAATAATTGTTCACACAATCTCAGCAACTATCCTAGCTGAGTGTGATACCTGTACCCCTCCATCTCACCAAGCTGCAAACATGTCTACGCGACCCCTCTCAGCTAGCCAACCCTCCACAGAACAGTTCATGATATGAACAGGCAGAGCAGCTTCCACTTGCCAGTAACTACTATGGGCAGATCAGGAGAGCCTTTGCAACTCCCTAGGCAGAGAATGCAGCCCTCCCGAGGTGCTGAATCCACCTGGAAGTTTAGTTATCTGTCCATGRTTGCCATCAACCTTAAGGGGTTATTATCCACACCATCTAATAAATGTATTTCTATTTCTTAGGACAGGCTGTCACAGTTTTTGGCAGGCCTGCTTTTCCACAAGGCTACATAAACAGCCTATGGTACAGGAATAATTTACATGACCAAGAGGTGCTAAAGGTAGGAAATTCCATGTTTGTGTGATGGCTTCCTCCTCCTAGGGAGTACAGGCCAAAATTGTCAGAAGTGACAAGATCCATGGATCAGCCCCCTCAGTGAAGTTTTCTGATTAAAGAAATAAACACTGGAGAAATCGGGGACCCAGGTTCCTATCTGCACTATTGCAACATGAGCACTTTCTCTCTGCTGCTTCATGCTCTGTACACAGCAGTCTCTTTCCTACTGCTGGACTGACAAGAGTTTTGCCTGGCCTGACCTTTAAACACAGAGGTGAAGRGTGACAGAACAAAGATGCTGTCAAATACCAATCCAAATCACTTCCAAGCTGTCAGTTTCAGGATGGAGGCATACAGCTAAGGATGCTACACTTTGCTGATCAGTGCTAATAAAAATAAGAACTGTATGACTATAGGAAAAGTTCAAACTGCAGAGAGCAAGTGATAATCAGCACATTATGATGGATGGAACTGACCGTGCATGGGCAGGTCTGCCAAGGGTCTCCAGACCCAGGCAATGTYATGAAGGAAAGAAGAATGTTTTGACATATCACTCATGTCCTTTAGGGTCAGACATTCAAGGCAGCAATTCCAAACGTGCATACACAAGATACCTGACTTCCAGAAAGAGCAAAGTGTCCCTGTTAATGGGGGAAAAACCGGGGCTTTTGCTCTACCACCTTCCCTGTATGCACACTGGCAGGAAACTSTGGAAGATACTCTGGAATGTGCCTCTGCTGGGCCAGGTGTACCATGGGTTTAAGCAAAAGTCAGTTCAGCTCTTGCAGCAGGTCACATTGGCAAGGCAGTGATCATATTACCTGTGCTATCACCCTCATGAAGYACCACACGCCCACACAGCCTCAACTTCCTTTATCAACTAAAACCTGCTATCAGGCTAAAACCTGCATTTCAGTGAGCTGGAATTAGCTATTCTCATTTTTATGTGAATCCAGGATGTGAAGAAGRACATCATAGTCCCAGAGCCTTCAAAGTACATGATGGTAAAAGCAGCAGAAGTACAAGGCCCACACTTCCAGAGCCCTGCCCTCCTCAAGTGCTGGAGGCCATCACCCCACACTCTCTGCACACCCTGACATCTCAGATCCCTATGGGACACGACATTGCTGCAGGCTATCTCAAAGTGTCCTCTCAGTGTTTCCTCTGCTTTTAAGCTAAGCAGGCTCCAGTTCCAGCATCTTCACTGATGTGAAGCACTGACAAGCAGCCCTGTGTATTTCTAACTCCACAAAGGTTAATAGTAGTTAAATTTGGAGCAGCTTCTGAAAGACAAGAAGCAGAGCTGTAAGGTGCAGCAGTAAAGCAGAGTAATGACCAAGTACGAAGGAGAGGGGGGAAAAATTAGAAGGGTGAATTTATTGCCAGTGGATAGTTCAGTGTAATTTGTGTGATCTGGATTATTTGGAAAAAGGATAAATTATACATAGGGAAAAACATGCACTTCTCCTTAGCCTACTCTTGACTACCAGACAGAAGAGGTTCTATTTGTCTACTCTTCTCTTCACCATCTTAAGTCTTTCAAAGCAAAAGATCCTTCCACTCTTTTCCTTCAAAATGAACTGCTGCAGGCCAGGCCGCCTCACTGGCAGTAAAAGGAGTGTCTGTTTTTCACCACTGTGCCCTTGTTAATCTCAGATATGTTAGCATTCTCTTGGGATTCCTTGCTACATTTCTCAGTGYTTGCTATTACTTAATTTGTAAACCAACTAAGATAAAACCAGACATTACAGGCCTTTCCAAGGAYTGATTATGCCAGTAATTTTGGTTTTCACATACTATAGCAAATGTCCTGTTTGCAGCACTACATGCATAATATACATTAACTTTAAACAGGCCAAACTACTCAGTAGTGACTCCTACTATCTTTTTTTAATGGACAGCATATGTACTGAATCAGCGTGTTCTGTGAATTCAGAGCTCTGCCTGCAATATCGACATCTACAAAGATGGCAAAACAGTGATAGATTGGGACGACTGGGAAAGACTGAAACTTGTTTCTAATCCATGAGAGATTTAAAACAGCTCTTGCAAATGTGCAGTAGCACTTTTCAGCTAGTGACACATGAAAATCGATTRTGTGAAAGTACATTGTTTCCAAAATCCTGCAAACACAGGGAAAAAAAATTTAGTAACAGAAAATTCAAATGGACATAAATTTCAGTGTGTAGAAAAAGACCATTTYATTCAGCATAGGGTTAAAAAAAATCCTGAACACATAATAGATAACAAGGTCTGAAGATATCTCATGGCTCCTAGGTCAAGACGTCACCMAAACCGCAGGGAAACCAAAAAACCTCCAATATTTTAGTGTTAAGAGAGTCAAGGCATTACTTTATTTCTGGCCAGGATGCTGTTCAGGCCAGGACGTGCAACAGAAATCACTTCATCCACACATAGTCCAGGTATGCAGAAAAAATCATTCCATGACACATGGATTTACTAGATTTTTCAGATACTTTATACAGTCAAACCCCAYAGAACTGTATTGGTTCCATGTTCATTTGTTCCAAGATGCCGAGCTCTTAGTACTTGGTTTCCTATTGGATCCCGATTTCTTCCGCTCTGATGCTAATTAGGTTGTCCTTCTTATCTCTCTGCTCCCAGACCAGGTCTCTCCAATCATGCCGGGGTGAGGTTTGGAGCTGATAYTCTGCTGATGGCCGTGTGTCTGTTGGGATGTTGAGTTCATCAGACCCCACCTGGTGGAACAATGCCCGAAAGAAACTTAAGATTCCTTTTCCCGCGGCAARGGTGAACAAAACTCGACTAAAAAAATTTCCAAGTGGTGTATTTTCCAACAAAGAGCAGTATTTTACATCGCTCATCCTTGTTACACCCTGTCATTCACTAGTTAGCAGGGAGAGTTTTGTTTTCTTGTGGCAAAAGCTRTTTTCACAGTATCTTGCAGAAACTGCACCTCTCTCCTCACTTAGCACTATTTACCTTTTCTCATCCTTACTGCAGGTATACTTACACACCTAAGGGGTAATTTCCAAGTGATTTAGCACATGCCTTACCCCTGCTGAACCCACTGGAGCTGTGCCCGATGCAGCTCCACGTGAACTCACAGGAGGCCATTTTCCAGAGCGCTCCTTTTGAACCAATTCTTCCTCCACCTCCTGCYTCCCCCTGCACCCGGGTACTTTTCTCCCAGCTGCACAAGTCATCTTTTCCTCAGCCCCATTCCAGAGCGCTGGGATGCTCCCACTGACAATCAGCTCTTCCCCATCTGCGGTGGGGGATCTATAACCCCGTGTCCTTCATGCTGCCCGCACTCCGGGAAGGATCCCATAACCTCCTTCGCCCACTAGGTGCCACCCACTGAGCGCGCTCTCATCTCCCACTGCCGCTGTTTCTCTTTTAACTTTTACCAGGCCGGCTCAGCCCGAGCACTCATGGCACCCGGGAGCTGCGGCCGCGTGTTCCCGCCGGGATCCGAGCGGATCGGGAGCGGATCCCGCGCGCTGCCCTCAGCCCCGCCCGCTCCCGGCCCCGGCGCGCGCCCGCAGCGGGAAGAGCGGGGGGAGGGGCGGGATGAGCCCCGCCCCCCGGGCGCGTGCCCGCGCGCGCGCCCCCCGCGCCGTGACCCATTTCGCCGAACAAAGGATTTGCGCTGGAATCTCGCTCGGCGCCGGGACCTAAAATGGCGCCGGCGCGCCCGCCCCCGCCCCTTCCGCGGGGGCCATAGAGACGGGGCGGGCGGAGCGGCTCCCCCTCGCTGCCGCTCTGTACCCGGGCGCGGCCCCAGCTCGCTGGTGCGGGCGGGGAGGTGCTGCCGCGGCATGGCGGGCGAGGGCGACTCTGAGCCGAGGAAGGTAATGGAGGGTGGGGGGGGCCAGGGGCGAGGAGCGGAAAAAGGATCATARTGAGGAGGAGGATGATGATGATGAGGACGATGATGATGAGGATGAGGAGSAGCTGCCCGGCACYCGGCTCCCCGCGGCGGCCCCGCGATGGGGAAATGGGAGGTCATTGCTGAGCAGCCGTGACCGCCCRCCCCACCCCCGCAGTTTCACCTCCAGAGGAAATAATTAGGGAACAATACACGGAAACCCACGGCAGAACTGAGGCTCTGTAGGGACAGATGGGTGGGGCGGGGGTTGTGTCTCTGTTCCCCCGGGCCCCTCCGTGGGACTTTGTTTTGGCGGGCGAAACACTGGCGAGGCTGAGGGTTCGTGAGGCCGCTGTGGTCAGAAGTATAACAAATGATGCCCAGTGTGGCGACAGGTGAGACGCTATTTTAAAAGGATGCATCATGCTGCATGGATGTAGCAGGGATACCTTCTTAGCCAACAACAGCAACGTATCAAGTGACTTCTTCTATATGAGAGCACTTGAAATTAYTCATTAGGATATTCGGCTAACATAGAGCCACATCCTTTCTGTCTCGCTTGTGCACAGGGACAGCTGATGGCTGTCYCTAGGGAACATGGATAAAACTAACRATGGGGATTTCCATGCCTGCCATCCCCATTCCCACAGTGGCATAATCACTTGTCTCACACTTGTCAGCCCTCCACAGGCAGTTGAATACGTAGTGCTCTGTCCTCAAAATCTGCTTTGACCAAGTGGAATACCTTTACAATAAAATAAAACTATCACGTTTGATGAGATTAGGTACAGTTGCACATACGGTTCTTCATGGTCCAATGATTTTAAGCAAAAGTGACCTAAACRTGTTCTCACATGGCTCCTGATCAAAGGAATGATAGCAGAACAATGTGAAGGTGTTACTGTGGGGCAGCCACCTTGACCCTGACCCGTGTGCCCAGCCCCTGCCTAGAATGGGGTTAGGTTATAAATTACTCGTTATTAAATAAAAACATTTTTTATTAAATGTGTTCAGTGTAAGGTACTGTACTATAAGCTCATTCTCYATTAACTTAACATTTTCAAGCATAGTTATGGTTTCAGGTATAAAAATTACATGGCATAACTAACTGCATACTTTATTTTAACCTTACTTGTTTGTTGTGATGTGACCAAAATCCTGGATTCTTAAGGGTTTTCTCCCTCCCTTTTTTAGGGAATGTAAAGATAAAAAATGAAGTAGTTCTTTTATAATACTCAGTAGAAAGGATGGATCAACAGTTTTGTGCAGAACTATGTTGCATAAATTAATAGTTAACTCTTCCAAAAACATTCCTGATACAGCTGTGCATGTTCACTTTTGGTCAGATATAACTCTGGAGGCAGTAAATCCTTAACTGGTTATATTTCATCACTAAGTTAACAAGTCAGTTTTACAATGGAGTTGGCATCATAGACTTTTACAAAAGTGAATTTTAAAATTTATTATTGGRTTTTTTTCTGTTGTCTTACAGTCCTTTAAACTCCTGGGATTTCTCGATGTTAAAAACGTCCCATGTGCACGAGAATCAGTGCTCTATGGCTCCCTGGGGTCCTTAGTTGTGGGTCTTGGACATTTTTTAGCGACTAGTAAGTACTTACTCCTTTGGAGTTTTACATATTTATTTGTAAGAAAAAAAAAATCGCTGTTAGGTGTTACTAATAATGGGAAGTCATACAAGGTGTTTTCTCARACTTTTCAGAGGATTTTTGTTTTTCTTTCAGGTAGAGTTAGAAGATCTTGTGACGTTGCAGTTGGTGGCTTTATTTGCACAATGTTAGGATACTGGTATGTAACATGCTTTTTGAGTTTTGACAGGCCTGTGTTGTCTGAATTGTACAACATGATCCTCATGTTTCAGTTTTCAGAAACAGCGTTTCAGTTTGTTTTTGAAACTCTATTAAGAATGTGCCTAGCAAAATGTCCTCTTCCTTGTCCCCAAAATTTTTATCTTTTTTGAAAGGAAAACATTTCAATGTGTTTGAATTTTTATGTTCGCATACCTTTTTTTTAAATATTTTCTATTGTTTCTTGAATCCTAAATGATTCAAGAATCCAATTACTTCCATTTTTCTTAATTCTTTTTTTCCTTTGCATATCCCATCCTTATCTCCTAGTTCCAAAGGCAGCATGCTGAATTTTACTAGCATTATCAGATGTGGTTGCAACTTTTCTCTGGCTGAATGGCTGGTTTGATACTGTCACTCATACAAAGCAGGGAATCGTGTTTTCTTTTCATCCCCTCCTCTAGGTTTTACTGCAGGTACAATTTGGCCCAACAGAGGATCCGGCAAAGAATGCTTAAAGAAGGAATGAAAAACAGAATTTTATTTGAAGGCAGTTATCTTGATCCAGAAAAGGARCAAACTGGTAGTGAAAGAAGCGATTCATAGGCTGCTCTGGAGGAGCTGTGGTTGAATACATCTTTGGGAAAAGGTGGTTCAAAAATGTCAGTCTACACTGTGAGGTGTCTAAAATGGGTAAATCATGGTTTTCCTGGCAAATCTGAGCAGGAAATTCACAGTGAATCTGTTAAGTCTGTACAAGCCGTGCTTTGTTCTRTATATGTATGTATGTGACTGCACATATTAGGGAATGATGTCCTGGTAAACTTCTGGAAGCTGATGTGTTCTTTTACAGAAGATRAACAACTGATTTGGGACTGCTTTAACTTCTATTATAAAAAGAGTGTGGTTTGTTTTAGCAAAGTTGTAATTACATCTCATTTAAATACAGGAAAATATTTTCATCAGCTGTTGAGTAAATGTATCCTTCAGTGCTATTGTTAACAGTTCTGTTTGTAAAACAAGGATATTTAAACTGTAGGAGAAGGCTTTGCTTGTGCAAAGATGGGTGATACCTTTGTAAGATTTCAACTGCAAGATAACCAGGTTACTTATATACACTGTGAAACTGAAGGATTTACATCTTTGTTGTCTGTTTGAAACTAAGAATAAAAAACACACATCACACTTCAGAGCAGTCTAAACTATGTAAGTAAATAATTTTTTACTTCATTAAAAATCTAGCTATTTTCGACACTTTTCTACTACTTGTGGAATAATAATTTACATTATTTTGAAGTAGTAATGATCGGTAGTGTGTTCTTTTGGTTTTTTTCTTTAAGGGCATGTTCTATTTAACTATTTCACTGGACGTTTTTCAGTTAAAAGAAATACCACTACATAMTTTTAAGGAAACCATCTAATCTGAAAATACAGTGTTAAGTCTAGTAGCATACTGGTAAAAAGATCAGTGATGACATCATATTCCTTGATTGCTTCTGTCTGCACGAGTGGCACAGTGTTTTTATTTTTTCATACAATGATTTATGGTCTATTATGCTGTAAACACTTTCTGGTCTAAAGGCATTCACAGAGCAAAAATAGTGCTTTCCCCCCACCCCGTACTTAGTCTGAAGGAATTTGTGATCTGTTAACTGAGGTTGGTGCAGGGAGGTCTGGGACCCYAGATGTAAACAGCAGTATTGCTCCTCTTACTTGTTTGGAAATATACTTGAGAGTACTAAACAAACATGCCATTTACACTGAGAAAATCAAACTTTTACTCTCTGTGGATTAGCCCCTTAGAAGAAGAAGATAAACCTGTATACTCTTGATTCCTTTTTCTCCCTCTATTCCTCATGTTTCTTCCAGAGGAAACAAAGATAAATTTTATCAAGGACATTCATTTCAATATTTGTTATAAAAAGTCTTCAGAAAAATTAATGCAATGAAACACTTCCTATTCTAACTGCAAAATCCAAACTGAGACGTAAATTGGAAGTTGATTCAGAAGAGAAAAATGTTTCCCCTGGTTCTGTGTTGGATGGGGGCTGAGGGGCTGGGAGGCTTCTTCCCATTGGGGTGGGAGCTGTTGCTCCAKAAATCCCTTGGAGCAGCAGTGGGAAACTGAGTGAGCCATGAAGCTGGTCTTAACAAGCTGCTGTTTTAATACATGGTTGAGTTCTTTCCTATCTGCCCTAAGAAAAGAAAGTGCAACCTAAGCAGTGGGTCTTTTGGCTGTGAGGTCATGGGTCAGCTGGRGGCTTTAGGCAACAAAAGCACAGAGATGAAAATTACTCTTTGGCAAAGAGCAGTTGTAGGGAAAGAAGAGAATTGTGTTTTGTGCTGATGGGAAAGAAGTTACCATGTGCATAATGGCATCCTTCAAAACACACAAATACTGTGACTGGTGAGAAAATAGAGGCAGCATTATGATACTATGTAAATCAAAAAAAATCTGGGGAAAACTGCAGCATTAAATCCTCTCTGGTGTTAATTAATATTGGTTTAAGTTACTGCATTTAAGGATATTAGCCCAATAGCAGCTTATCTAAAGTTTATCAATAACTGTGAAATGCTAGATGTATCTGCGTTGTRTAGGTAACCCATCTAATACTTTTGCTTCACTGTGCAGAGTGTAAAATGAGTATGCCAAATGTTAACAGAAAAACTGGGGAAGAGGCAATGTGCAGGCARCCTGGCCAGCATGTTTGAGCTTCAGTGTTTACTAAAACTTGAGGTGGAATTGAGCTAACTAGAAGTCCAGGCCTTTGCCAAATAGGACAGAGCAGGGATATAAGACAAAGAAGCTGTGAGCAGGACTCAATTGGGGTTAATGCGGGGACCTGCAACAGCAGAGGGAGGAATGCTCATGGCTAAACATGCAGGGGAAAAGGTCTGGCATAATTCCTTGAAGTGCTGGCTCCAGCTGCTTCTGTACCAGCTGCGGAGAGTGAATTGAAAGTGAAAAGTGACTGATGGGTTACACCAATTAAAGGATGAGGGACAGGATAAAACAAAAAATCTCAAAGCTATTAATTATCATAAATTAGGATACATTGCCAAGAAAATAAAAAATTGAAGTAACTTTAATATTTTAGTGTTTGAAAACAATTACATAACTATATTTTAAAATTACTCAGTTGTGTTACTGCGTATTTCCTAAATCTTAAATCGTTGATGGAAATACATAGCACGCCTCCGTAGTTAATTATCAGATCTGAAATCTTAAAATATTGCTGCAAATGAATGATGCCCAAGATTCAAAATCGCTCAAGATTCAAAATCGCTCAAGATTCAAAATATTCCTTAAATTCATTTTACAGACAATTATTTGGAAGGAAGAGAAACACTAATTTTGAAGATGTTTGGTTTTCAGTTGGAATTAACCGTAAAAAGGGAGAAAATTAAGTATAGCAATTTGAAACTGTAAAATTGTTGAAACCCTGTTTATTTTACTGACATTTGTTTTACTTGGTCACTGAACAGGCTGACAAGCCTAGATTTGATCCCTGAAGTTAGTAAAATCTGTCCTTAAAGCAGCCTAAACCACCAACAAAATAGAGATGGGTTTGGGGCCCCATCATTCCTCCACATCTTTCTCGTTTCCTGCAGTAGCAACACTCTGGGAAAAAGCATTTGCTGCCTTCTCTGGCAGGAGCACACACTTGGAATCTGGCAGTGGCCAGAGGCCACTTGTGCAGGGCATGTCCTCCAGGTCCTTCAGGAAGGGAGGTTGTTGTGGAGGCACCAGGCTGAAACATGGCAATGTAAGGTTAATTGCCAGGCCCGTTCCCAGAGCCCAGAGCTGCCTGTGATCAGGTGGCCTCTGCTCTTCAGTGCCTCTCACTGAAGCAAATGTCCTGCTGCAGCCATCGACAGGCTCAACACCCAGGAACTTTTCTGAAGGCGACAGCTGCCATCCCAAACTTGCAATGTACCTCTTTACCAAAGCAGAGATTTTTGGGAGATGTTGGCCCTTGCTGCAATTTTCAGGCTGCCAGGTTATTCTCTGTGTGTCACCTCCCACCTCAAGTCCTCAAGTGCTGCAAAGGAAAGGTCGTCTCTTGTCACTGAGCCTGGCTTTTGGTAGGGTTTTTTTTTTTCTGGGGTCTGGAGGAAGTGCATTTGTTATTTCTGGTGTAAGCAACCCAGGTAATAATGAAGTACTGTGTGAATTCAGCTGTAATGAGCTCCCAAGCAAAAGATTTTCTCCAGCTTAGTAGACTAATTCCCATACTTCCCTCGTTTCTATCCAGAGGTTTAGCTCAAGAGCTCAGTGGTTAGCCATGTAAGTTGTTTGCTTGCTCCATTTAACTCTTGAAACACATACATTGTTCTTGCCTTGGAAAACTGATCAAAACAGAAGTTTTATAGTATATTCAGATGATCAAGATGATCCTTTGATTATGCTTTTTTTTCTAATTCAAGAGTCAAGAACTAATTAAATATCAGAAGTGGAACTGAGTTTTAGTCAATGTGACTCAAGGCCTTGGAACAGATAACTTTCTTACACTCAAAATGAAAATATTATGTACAGCTGCCAAACCTTCAAATGGTGGTGGAAGAGCAGGCTAAGGAGCTATAGAACCTTGGATGAGATGTTTTGAGAAAAGCACATGCTTTCATTTATGGCTGACAGCACCCTCACTAAGTGTAGGTCTTCTCTTTTCACACGCTCTTGTTTTTTTTCTGCTTAAGTTCATAGTTTGCCGGAGAGCCATCCAGCAGGGGGTCTGCCTGTTCCTGTGGGAATAGGTCATGGCATCCTTATGTCTGCTTGTTTTCAAGATTAAGAGCAGTTTGTTCTGAGGCTATTTTAATCCTGCCAGCTTCTGTCATCTATCATGAACAAGACTGCATCAAGACCTTCAACTTCCCTGAACATGCCAGGAGCCCTYTGGCAGTACCTAAAATGTACCATGGGAGTGGACAATTACCACTGCAGGGATCTTTCTCTTTACACTGGCCACAGCTCCAAAAATACCCAGCCTCTATATTGTGATGATCTATTTAACAGAAACAAAGATTCCCCAATTTCCTGCTCTGGAGAGAAGGAAATGCATGCCTTGTATATTATTAAAACTCCTTGTTTATTTGTCAAATGCAGTAAGGAAGAGCAGCAGGTGTGCTCTCAGCTAATGTGAGTTTTCTCCCTAAACAGGAGATCGTCATCTCTCCTTGTCTCAGTTTGAGACAATGTTTTTAGAGAAAAAAGGGTTACAGGTTAATGTGGCTTCACTCGCTTGGCCTGCTTGATGGCAGTGCATATCTCACAGTCATGGATAACCAGGGAGATACTGTCCATGGWTAGATCCACCCCTTGGTCTCGTGCCCACTTTTACATGGCATCTCTGCCCTGGTGCCCTGAGGCATCATGGGCCCATCGAGCTAGGAACAACTCATCCTTGTGTTGCCAATCCATGTTGATCTGGGACACCTCTATCTTTGCAGCCTGATCTACCTGCTCATTGTTCTGGTCTACCTGGCCATTGTTCATTAGCCCGACTTTTGGGGACATGGGCATCTACATGGCGGACTTTCATGGGCAACTTCTCCACCCGGGCTGCAATGTCTTCAGCAGCCCAGATTGGTTTTCCTCTGCGCTGCCAATTGGCCTTTTTCCACCTTTCCAGCCACCCCCACAAAGCATTAGCTACCATCCATGAATCGGTGTGAAGGTAGAGCTTTGGCCACTTTTCCCTCTCAGCAATGTCCAGGGCCAGCTGGATGGCTTTGAGTTCAGCAAATTGACTCGATCCACCTTCTCCCTCTGTGGCCTGTGCAACCTGTCGTGTGGGGCTCCACACGGCTGCTTTCCACTTTCGGTTCATCCCTACAATGCGATAGGAACCATCAGTGAAGAGACTGTAGCATTTATCCTCTGCTGGCAGTTGGTTGTACAGTGGAGCTTCCTCAGCCCGGGTCACTGGTTCTTGTTCCTCCTCGTCTGCAAGACCAAAGTCTTCATCTTCAGGCCAATTTGTAATTATTTCCAAGATCCCAGGGTGATTTGGGTTTCCTATATGAGCGCACTGAGTAGTGAGARCAATCCATTTGCTCYAGGTAGCATCCGTGGCATGGTGGGTAGAGGGGACTTTAGCTTTGAACATCCACCCCAGCACCAGTAGTTGGGGTGCCAGGAGTGCCAATCACCTCTGAAGTGCCAATCACSTCTTGAGCCTATGACTCCCTCATAGGCTGCCAAGGTCTCCTTCTCTGTTGGTGTGTAGTTGGCTTCGGACCCTCGGCAGCTTTGGCTCCAAAATTCCAGTGGCCGGCCTCGAGTCTCACCAGACACCTTTTGCCAGAGGCTCCAGGACAGACCAT